TTATATGTAATGAGAACATTTTAAAATAACTTGAATTAAATTTATTAAACTTTTTTTATACTTTAACATAGTTTTAAAATTTTAGCAGTAAAAAAAAATTGTTAAACTAAAGTAATGATAGTAAACTAAAATACTGTAAAACTAAAGTAATGATAAAGTAATAAACTAAATAAATTAATAATGTAAAGCGTTTTAAAAGTCTAGTGTGTACTGGTGGTACACACTAGACTGTCTCATTGGGCAGCGTGTACCACTGGTGGTACACACTAGACTGTCTCATTGGGCGGCATGTACCACCGGTGGTACACACTAGACTGTCTCATTGGGCAGCGTGTACCACTACTGGTGGTACACACTAGACAGTCTAGTGTGTATCACCAGTGGTACATGCTGCCCAATGAGACAGTCTAGTGTGTACCACCGGTGGTACACGCCAGCGTGAACGTGTTAAATAAACTGATTGAAAAATTTTTTAGCGTAATGTAAATTGCAAAATGCGTACTTTAACTTGTAGCGTCAAACTTGTACAAAACACGTACTTAAACTTGTAGTATCAAAATGCGTACTTGAACTTGTAGCGTCACTTGTTGGTCAACTAGCGTAATGTAAATTGCAAAACGCGTACTTGAACTAAAATTCAAATAGTGTAATGCTTCTTAACAAAGCCTGCAAATAGTATTGCATATTAAGGTAAGCAATCTGATGTCATACTGAAATAGCCTGCTGCCAGGAGCAGATATATCGACTGACAAATAGCCTGACTTGCAGTGAATTGCTGCTACATCGACTGAGGGTTTGGGATAGGGCAACAATCTTTTCAATCATTAATCTTAGTTTTCTTCTTTTTCTAATAAAAGCCGTATGGATATATATATATATGTATAAATATACATATATAATATATATATATATATATATATATAGATATAATATATATATATATATATATATATATATATATATATATATATGTATATGTATGTATGTATGTATGTATGTATGTATGTATGTATGTATGTATGTATGTATGTATGTATGTATGTATGTATGTATGTATGTATGTATGTATATATATATATATATATACACATATATATATATATATATATATATATATATATATATATGTATATATATACATATATATGTACATATATATACATATATATGTACATATTATATATATACATATATATGTACAAATATATACATATATATGTACATATTATATATATATATATACATATATATGTACAAATATATATACATATATACAGCGTGGAAATTAACGGCTGGTCAATGGTCAATGACCGCCTGAAATGGCTAAAAATGCTATTTTGACCTCCCAAAATGAATTTTTGCCGGTTAAAAACTGGTTAAAAAAAGTCAAAGATTTAAAACAAGGTTTAACAAAAAATCAAGATGTTGTTTGGAAAATGCATGTAATAAAATTTTGACAAATTATTTGAATTTTGAAAAAGGGTTTTAAATAGTTATATATTAAATATAAATTTTAAATAGTTTTCTTGTTAATGATACACTACTTTAATTGCTAGCAGATTAAGCGAAAAGTTTGAAAGCAAATAGAAGTTAAAGCCAATTTTTTTTTTAATTTTTTTATTTTGAAC